GAAGGTTGCCACGAGTAAGTAAGTTTGGGGGACCGAAGGCAGTTCTCCGTGCACCGGACAAGTAGCTTATCGAATCAGTTGCGACATGGATGGGAATGCATGCTACGAAAGATAAGGTCGAGTCTGATACATCAACCATCTACTTAATATCCTTGTACGAGTCCACAATGACTACACGAGATGAACCTTGGTTTGGTGAATTGAAGTTGGCCTTAGGTGTATAGGACTCCCAGTTACTGCGCGCGATCGTATACTCGACTTATGCAGTTTTGTGGGATCTATTTGGAAGTGTTAAACGTAATATTTCAAATATGAAAATAAAATCTCTCTTTATTTGTACAGATTGTCAAGGCAGTGATGTTCGCTGAATTGGTATGCCATGTACAGAGACATTTTGACAGATCATACCAATCTTTTAACAAGGTTTAGATAGTTGGCCGCCTTAACAAAATGTTCCACATTTTTTGCCTAAATAGTTGTCAGTAGTGTATGCCTATGTTTTTGAAGGCAATTGGTATTATTTTTTGGATCTTGGAGCGGCCTCCAGATATTGTATAATGACATCTTATAATTAGGATCCATGTACATTTCCGAAAGTTTGCGACGTTTATCCCATGGTGTTTACTTTTATACTACTGATGTCTACTTTTACTATTTAACAAAAGAATTATAGATGTATAATGGGCTTCGGCGTCATAACAAAGAGCTAAACAGAAGGATTTCCTCTGTTTTGAGAGGTTATTTTCGATTTCGGATACTTCGTTACAATCTCTTATGGCTTGTGGAAATTCCTGGAGATTTAAATGAGCTTCGACGTGATTACAAAGAGCTAAACAAATGGATCTGTTTTCAAAGGTTATTTGAATCAAGATTTTTGTACCATGTATTACTAGCTTCTTCTTCTTTTTCTTCTGCAAACAATGAAGTGGTTCAACATTACTCTAGAAAGCTAACTAATGAAATTTTTAAATTTTTAGCTATGTAATCTCAAGATAGATATACAAACAGAATTGTAATTCTAGCAGTAACTACAAAGTTATTGCACTCCAGGTCATCATGTAGATTTACATTTACCTTTCTTTCGCTACTGCACATATAAACACCACTATCAGCAAAATTATCTGCTAATCTTTTGTGACAAATAAAAATAAGTTTACACTATAATTTGTTGGGCCCATGCAAAGCATCGGCAACATTATCTAGTTAACAGATAAATGCGAGTTGCCAATTAATTCAAGCTCGCTATAAAAAAGGGAATTAGAATAAAGGAATAATTGTGACGGAGAGAAATGAGCCATGAACTAATTCAAGACTAGTTGCAACAAATAATAAAATAATAATAAAATGTACAAATAATATCTAGAATCTAAAAGAGACAAAATAAGTGAACTACTCAAAATGCTATAAAACTTTAGATGTGCTTTCAATATTAGCCCATGTGTTCATACCCGAACCTTGGATTGATACGCTAAATAATAAAAGGATAATGTGCGCATTCCAGCGTCTCGATGCCTTTAAATTTAAAAGAATTATATTCTAGCCATGTGTATATTCTGTACCTTGGTTTAATATCTACCTTCAAAGAAATACCTTGTGTGCGTACCGCATCTAGGTCAAAACAATTAATAATAATATAAAGATTAAGTAAAGTGGTAATATACAGGCCATAACGAATAAAATACAAGAATAGCCAAAAATCGATTTAAGCCTTACATTAGTCAATAAAGCGACCGTGCTAGAACCACGGGACTCGAGGGATGCCTTACACCTTCCCCTCAGTCAATAGAATTCCTTACTCAGTGTTCTTTTTTCGTAGACCATAAATTAGGATTCAAATCTTCCTTTTGATAAGGGATTCAATAAAAGGTGACTTGGAACACCAAAACTCAATTCCAAGTGGAGACTCTAAATAATAAATAATCCCTTTTCAAAATGTCACTTTAATTGGAAAAACTCTTCTAACTAAACCTCGTAATAGGGTTGTGTGGGAAAAAAGAGGTGTGACATGCATAACAAACAGGAAACTCACTTGTTTGAAGAGTCTACGAGCCTCTTCGAAAATGAAAGAAGGGTCTGGGTTGGGGCCATCTTCGAGCCCTACAAGGCATTCTCGAAAGATCTCGTGTCCTTCATAGATTGCTTCCACTTCAGAAGACCTCATATTCTAAGCATCTCGGATTTGCCTATCGGAGAACTTGGGACCAAGGGGTGAGTCATCTACATTAATTATCCCAAATGATACACTTGGGGCGTTCTCTTTATTTTGAAGAGGCTCGGGACTAGACTGTTCGACCTCACCCTCCGGATGGCCTCCTAGGCGAGGTGCCTTTTTTCTGCGCGACTGTTCGGGGGCTTTATTTGAACTCCCCTCAGAGATTTCTTCGATTCTAGAATGCGCCACATCGACCTTCACCGGCTCGACGGACTTCGAAGCACCGATATTTCTCCTTTCACGGGTTACTAATAGGCAGTCATCATCTTCTTATTCCTCATGGTCTCGAAGGCGTTGGACCGTTTCCGGAGATAAGACAGTCGTATCAACCTTAGACCTTCGAACCATGCTCTTATTGGGCTTCGGGGGATTGGAGGGTGATTCTCTTTTTCTCTTTCTTTCTTTAGGAGACATCGGAACTTCTTCTTCATCATCCGGGGCCGGCCGCAAATCAATGGCATTTCCAAGACCTACATGAAACCGAGGTAAGTATCCCATGGCAGAAGTACACGAAAACAAACAAGAGAACTCACCATGGTTTTTGGCCTCCCATCGACCCTTGGCCAGATCTCGCTAGCAACGCTCCGAATAGGAGGGGGCGGAGGCCAGCTTTCGGACGCAGCCCTTGAGGTCAGGGACCCCACCAGGAAACCAAGTAGCGGCTACACCAATGTAAAGGGGTTAAAGCAATGAAAAATATAAAGCCGGGGAAAAGAAAAG